TGGAACCCTGATTAGGTCATGAGGAGGATATATATGAAAGGTACAGAGAGGGTTGAGAATTCCCTCTGAATCGAGGTTGGTTTTTATGTTTGTGCCTCATGACAGAGAGATAGGTCAAGACAATACGATGTTTGTATGAGCTTGATGACTAAAATTCATGTATGGGAAAGTTGGGGCCAACAGAGCGCATTGGTCAAAATCCCTGACTACTCCAAACCTTCTCATGGCATGTGCATATACTTCACAATGTATGGGAAGCTTACTTTTCCAGGGATCCACTTAACAAGAAAATATGTTTTTTGAAATTATTTGAATGCAATGAGGCTCCCCCATGGGTGTCCACTTAACAAGAAAAAATGGGTGTCCACGTGCAACCCCATGGTACCTGACACTCCCCCACGTGGAGATGATGTGGGGGTGACTTCCACCCCATGGGGGACCCCCTTGTCACCTCATTTAATGATGATTTATGTTATATAGTCTTGAGCTTTGATTTTTATAGAAATTTGAATTTGGTACATGTTAAATGATTCAAGCAAGTGGGTGGAGCATAAGTGTTGGATATTCTAGAAGGGATATAGGGTTTGTAATATTAATCCTAACCCTAAGGGCATATGGTAATAGTGCATATAACTACTGGCCTTATGTGGTATGTTCTTATTGATTCCACATGCTCTTTAAAATGGAGAGAATTTTGAAAGCTTTGAGTTTGCTGGAATTTTGGTTAAATGACCATAAGGCATACCCTCCATCATGGTTTTATTCTTTATTAAAAATGAAGAACATGGGTATTTTGATAACAAGGGAACTTGGAGTGATTTAAATGAGGATAAGGTTGTTTAAATCCATGCCACACATATTGATAGCTGATGATGGATGGTGGGCTAGCATCATGAATCTCTTTGTAGCTTTTGGTAGATGACCTGATGGGTCATGATTTATCATCCAGAAGCATCTCAACCATTGAGCTTTCGAAAAGCTATAAATAACCCCTTTGAGTTCATTTTCATACATGAGTTTCTCTCACTGAAAGTTCCCTCCAAAAGTTGCTCGCCCCAATCTCTCTCCTCTCTCTCTCTCTTGGACACACCCTAGTCTCTCTCTCTCACTCTCTCTCTCTCTCTCTAAAGTTCATCTTCATGAGATGAAAGAGTGAAGCTCCTTCAAGGTCTCATGGAGCTCTATTAATGGTAGTCTAAGGTCCAAAGGTCATGCCATGGATGAACTAGTCATGAAGCCTCCATCATTTGAGTAAGATTTTCAATTCTCCATTAATTTGACTGTCTTTTCCTTGCTGTAAATCTGCAATTACATAAGCATATCTTTCCCTTTTATTGATCATTCTCTGGTCCTTTGATTCTCCATTTAATCTCTCATGATCCATGTTATTCAAAGCTTCATCCATGCATAAATTAAAGTAGTTTTCCATGAGCTTTTGTCAATTGCTTTTTCATAAATTTATTATTGTTTTTCTCTACGTTTTCAAACTCATATCAGTCCCATAGATCACCTTCTAGCCTCCATGAATTGTCCATTTTTTAAAAAGGGACTATGTCAATTTTCTATGAGCTACTATATGAAAAAGCTCCAACCAGTTTTGTGTTCTAGTGCCTGATCTCTCCCATAATTTTTCCCACTTGCAAGATCTTTGAATCTCGACATAAACATTCTATAATTGAAATATGTATCAATAGATGCTTGACTTCTGATGAATTGGCCTAGATTTGTGAGATGCCATCGCATGTCATCCATTACCACATAGCTAAGACCCAAAGTACTAAACCAGGCTTTGAGTGCTCCGAATGGCTTCTCATGGTCTTGATGCGCATTACACTTGAGAAATCACATATTAATATAATGGAGATCATAATTTGATTTATTTTTTAAGATTGAGTATTGCTGAATGTTTAAGAGCACACTATTCATGTATAGTTTTGTGATTTTTCTCTATAGATAGTCTTGTTCATTTATAAAGGATCTCAATAGAGTTGTATCTTCTTTTTCAAGAGTATTTTGAAGCCACTATGGTAGCAGTGACCTTGCTGTAATTTCATTTTGAAAGATGTAATTCAAGTGCCTTGTTGAAATTTTAAAGTTATATTGTTCGGTCCTTGGGCACATGGTACTCCCTTCCATGAGATTAGGTTTCTTATACACACAATAATACCCTGGAAACTATTTTATAAACTTGGCTTTTAAGTCTTCATTTGTCAACTACATCTTTCTTTCTGTACATTTAATCGATTAAACAAAGGTATTCGCTACAATTTTTTTTACTTAGGATGTACAAAAAAACAATGTCCCTGTTGGCAACTTAGGATTAAAACCCTATGCTTTGAATAAAATTTCCTTCGCCCTAACGAATCTCAGTTGATCAAACATATATATCTTATCTTATCCACTTTCTTTATTAAATCAGATTTTGAGCAAATAGTCCATGTTAGATGAAGCATCCACCAGTGCAAATTGTAATGAAAGGGGACATCTTCCTAGCCCAAGCCAAAAAAAGAGGAGATATAGCAATTAGTATGAGCACCACATGTGTTACTTATACCTATGATAAGGCTAGTAAGAAGCCTTCCTTTTGAAGGCCAAAAGAGGTGACATGAATCACGGTCGTTATACCGGACCTGTTGTGCACCAAGGTAAGCACATGGTAGTAACAAAGGAACTCTATTTAAAATTAAATAGAAAAACTTTGTGGCAGCATCGGACCTTACCAAGTGTGACGACAGAGTGGGAGGCTCTGTCAAGCATGCACAAGACTTGGGGCAAAAGCAATGGTTTAGAGGACATGGTGTAGGACAACAGTTTCACGAGGATGATAGAGTTCAGACTAGGGAGACATATACCCCTTGCCTTACAAAATAACGGTGTGCGTGTGGGGTATGTAGAGCATGCAGAAATCCTAGAGTCAAAACAATCTATCAAGAAGCTACAAGTCCTATATGGACTTGTGCTACTTTAGGCATCTCTCCTAGTGAGTCTAACCATCAGTCCTACATGAGAGAGTTGGGAACCTTCAATGTTGCCCAAGTGAGAGGCTAGTGTGGCGTGCTGACAGATATGTACATCCATATGGGCTAGCAACTAAGGGCCCTTGGTGTGAGGATCATTGAAATAAAAATGTTGAGGTTTGGTTGGTTAGACTATGCGCGGCTTAACTTGACAAAACATATGCATCGACCTTGTGAAAGAGGTAGCTGATTATACACATGTTAGTCTAGGTATAATGATCTTGAGAAAGGAAATCAAATTTTGAAATGTGAAGCTGCCTTTGACTAAAGCTTTTGTAATGGTTTATGCCATGTGAGAATGGGTGTCTACAGATGGAATGAGCTAATTGGGTGTAATGAACCTTGGAAACACTATACATGTTTGAATTGGGACGCATGCACATCAATTACCTATGCAGTGGGTTTACCAAATTCACAGTACCATGTGGAAGGCCATTCATGGATGGTGTGGGCTGGTATAACTGTCGTAGGTATTGGTAGGCAATAAAAATATAAGAGTGTTAATGGAAAATCTAACTGAAGGTAAGTGTGTGGCGGCACATAATTTCTTACTATATATATTCAAGTGTACAGTACAATAAAAGCGATTCAATAGTTTGTGTGTGACTTGTGTGGATGTTTGCTCCATTCCTCCTGTGTGGTTTGAAGAAGGATGGCTTGATCTTAATATCGTATGACTTAGGTGTAGCGTCCATTTGGCTAAGTGAAACGTCAGAGGAAGTTTGATTTGACGAATAAATTCCTAATCCAACTTAATCCGTGACCAAAATAACCAGCACCGCTGGTTAGTGTGTTTAGGATGTGAAAAGTTTAATGTCCGATTAGACCTTTATAAGAAGATACTAGCCCATTATCATGATCTAAAAGGATATGATAATCGTCTCTCTTTTGTTTTTTTTAATGTAATATGATATTCGGCTCTCAAATGTATGATTCTTTCAAGTTGCTAATATTTCTAAAAATTGGAGGATATTAGGTGAAATCAAGAATCCCTTAGAAAAAATTTGTAAAAAAAGACCGTAAAGACGAAGGAGGGGTTGTTTAATAGGTGATGCTTCCTCAAACAATTTCTAAAGACTTGTATTTCAACAAGAAGGCACAAATGGGAAGCTTCGTCCAAAATACGCTCGTAAGACCACACGCGCTTGTCCATCCATAACTAACATTCCATTCCCAGCCGCAACCGCAACCTCTCATTTGCGCTTGTTTCTTTTATTTTATGGAAAAAGTTTATATAAGGTTGAGGCTTTAAATAGTCGCACCCCTCAAAAATTGACTAAAGGTTTTTTTATGCCCCAAAACCTTCAATCCGATCATCTCGACCTTGAGATACATAAACATTAAAAAAAATTAAAAAATAAAAAAGTGAACTTCAATTCTTGGAAATTGGACGCCTTGTAATGCACTATTTAAACCATCAATTTTTAAAATTTTCAAGTGTTCATAGATATGCTCGATCTACACTATTTTGTAAGTTTTAAATTTTTTATTTAGAAATAAAAGTATCATAAAGATTTTTTTTTGTTCTAAAACATCATCTTTCAATACTATTTAATAGTACACTTTATTTTGATTGGGTAGGGCTCAGCCTTGTACAAATCACACCCTTTTAGTTTACCAATTTATGTATTAATGAAAATTCAACTAATGCAATCAAAAGTCCACCCACCCCTAGTGCCGACGTCTTGCTGATTTCGAGTGTGAATTCAAGAGCCACTATAAATTTGTTTAATAGGCCCACATATAATATAAATCTAAATAATTTAGAAGTAGCATTGGACGGCTGAGATGCAAAGTTGGGGCTTCTCAAACCCCACCCACGTAAACCACCACCGTAAGCTTTCGTAAGCGAAGGGACCACGTCAAACCGGTCCCCACACTGCCAATCCGCATAGCGAAATATTCAACTGAAGCTTCCATTACAGCCCCTTTCACGCGTGGAGGCCGTTCTCCAACGCCTATAAATTCAATATCACCCGCCATGTCTCATATCTCTCATTCCCAAAATTCCATCCAAGTCCTCCATACCCTAGAGCCTCAATAAAGAAATCCATAATTCCACCCCTTAAATCCGTATCCAAAACTTCTTCTATCCGGAGAACGGATCCATGGCTGATGCTAAGGGAGCTCATTTTAATGGTGCCTATTATGGAGCACCTCAAGGAGTCACCGTCCCTCCTCCTCATAGGCCACCAAGAGGCAGGGGCTGTGGCCCTTGCTGTATTCTTACTACTTTGTTTAAGTTGGTTATCGCGATCGTGGTCGTACTGGGTATAGCTTCCCTAGTTGTGTGGCTCGTCTTGCGCCCGAACGAGGTCAAATTCTATGCCGAAAATGCATCCTTGACACAGTTTAACCTCTCTGGCACAAACAACCTCCAGTACAACTTGCAGTTGGATATAAGCATTAGAAACCCGAACAAGAAGATCGGGATTTACTACGATAAGGTTGATGCCATGGCTTATTATGAAGGTGAAAGGTTCGGTTGGGACAGCTTGCCGGTCTTCTACCAGGGCCACAAGAACACCACGGTCCTCCAACCCAAGTTCACAGGACAACAACTATTGCTTTTGAACAACTATGAAGTTACTCAATTCAGACAGAGCACATCTGAGGGATTCTTCTATATCGATGTTAAACTATACTTGAGGATCAGGTTCAAGGTTGGAAAGCTTAAGACCAAGCGTTTCTCTCCGGAGATTGAATGTGATTTGAGGATTCCTTTTGGATCCAATTCCACCACTGGGTTCACCAGGAAGAGATGTGACATTGAGTATTGATGATAGTTGACTTCTTGAGTGTTTTAGCGATTCTTTAATTTTTTTTCTTATTTTTTTTCTTTATGTTTTGGTTTTATTGCTTGATTCCATGTTCCCATGCACATTTGTAGTGTTGTGCCATTGGTTGCCTTGTATATTCCCTTGGTTATATTACAATTGATATAGTTATTTGTTTGGCTTCCTTGCATTGGTTTCCTTGTTGATTCTATGCCTGCTAACTTTACCTCACATATCATATATGGGTATATAGTCAGGACTTGCGCCTTAATATGCATTAGAAGCCCTGAGAGCCGTTCAAAATATGCTTTAATGGCGGGATTCACTGAAAGACTGTCAAAAAAGCCGTTCAAAATATGCTTTAATGGCGGGATTCACTCAAAGACTGTCAAAAACAGACCAAACTATAGGGTTGATATCCAGGGGCCATAAAATGCTTCTCCAAACAATACTAACGAAGTTTGGATGAAAATTAGTAAGTCTTGAGAGACACCATCTATCAAGAGGGGTTAACAGCGGGATCCTCATCAAATAATAACCAAATGGGGTGAAACTTTGCAGATACCACTATTTGGTCCTTATATGCCCTTAGTCAAAAAATCATCTAAACAGGACATCATTTGGCAAATCTCCTTATCCATTGTCTGGAAAGATAGGCTTGACCCACTACTAATATGTGAGAATTGATCTAGGATCTTTGGTAAATTCTCATTTGAGGAGTGATACCCCTCTTCCCATGACTTCAATTCATTTGGAGATGATTCCACCCCTCTTTCATATCCGCCGGCAGTCAAGACCCATATATATCGTCTATCAGGCAAATACACAAGTTGACATTTGTTTGTTACAACTTCCCAATGTAAAAAAGGATTTCTTATGTGACCAATACCATTAGATTATGCCAACCATGGGAAAGCCACTTTTAAAGAATCCTTCATGTGAAAGTGGTTGAGATCGAAACAACGGCCATCAAACTTTCTAAAAGCTTAATAGAAAGACCTTCATATCTCTGAGGATAAATGGAGTTTTGCAACCAAATTTTGTGGGGATATTCTTTGTAACCTTCCTTGCAACATATTAAATCCCCATGGTTAACACATTTTTGTGCTGAAAAAAATTCCCATAGTAGATTTTGTGGGGATATTCTTTGTAACCTTCCCTACAACATATTAAATCCCCATGGTTAACACATTTTTGTGCTGAAAACAATTCCCACAGTAGACTAATCTACTGCTTTGTAGTAGAAAGCCTCAATTTTGATAAGGCATATCTCCCTCAATACTGGCCCCAAATGAGATGAAGTTTTTGGAAGTAGGAAAATATAACCGGGCAAGTGTATAACGATTAAATTTTTCCTTTTTTCTCTCTATGTCACCACCTGGATTATTCACAAGAGTCCAAAAACATTATGAGAAATAATAAAAATAAAAAAGAATCCCAAGGACTCTCAACTTGCTACCACTTTATATTGGGATCATTAAACACATAATACTCAAGAGAACAAGAAAACATAAGACTGCAAACCATTAAGAAAAATACCAGAAGATCACCTACTCTGGACTTTGCACACCCCATCCTGGGTCTCCTCCAATGGCGCATGAGATCAATGGTCTATCTTTGATCGTTGAAGCATGGGAAATGATAATCTACAACCCTTAATCAACATGAGAGCAAAGGTGGAACATGCAACATGAACTACACCTCAATGCCTTAGGATATGGGGTGCCCCCCCTCTTGGACTAGGTGGGGCATTCCCCCAATTTTCTTCTCAATATTTTCTAAGCTAGAGAGACGGGCTAGAGAAATCGAAAGTGATGAGAGAGGGTAGTGTGCCACTCATTGGGTATAGAGAGAGAGAGAGAGAGAGAGAGAGAGAGCTTAGAGGTATAGAGATTTGTAGAGAATGTGACTTTATTTATAGATGTTTCCAAGGGTTTCTTAGGGTTGGCCATCCTTATGAAGATTATATCCAGACCATTGACCATAAGAGACATGTAGGGTGAGAGATATAAGTCATACAATCATTAAATCAGCTATCATGATTCAAAGGAATGTCCTGGAATCTTATCCTTCAGCTTTCTTAACCTAATCCCATCAAAAAATAAAATATAGAAAATAATATCATATTTTGTTATCTCTTGTATAAGTCTCTTATACATGTTTTTTTTTTTAATATTCAAACTTCTCAAATATCAAAACTTTCCATAATTCTTATCTTGATTGAATGCCTTGATTTACAAGGCTTGTACATGATTTGTAAATGAGAACATAACCCACTATGTGTGGCGTGCCTCTCGTGGGACCCCCAAGTGGGCCCCATGCACATCCCATATGGTATCATGGTGGACCCCCATGCAATAAAAGAACTATAAAAATATTGTTATGATTTTTGGAAAATATCTATTATTTAATTTCCCCTCTGAATAGTTAAAATACTGAAAATTCAATATCTATCTATTTATAAATCTATTTTGTGAAAATAAAATATCCATAGACTTTCAAAAATTCAAATAATCAATCTAAACATTATTTAACATCAAATAAATTAATTTCAAATAAATTTGATGGAAATCGAATCCAACTAGGTCAAGGAATTATAAAATTATGGAAGCACTTCATCTTCTACTATAGGCTATAATCTACACTTACTTTTTCAAATTAATTCACCAGCTCCGATGAACCATAGACATCACAATGGTTCATAATTGGGCCACTAAAGTCAGCCACTAGGTGAGGGGACACATTCTTAGTCCATAGATTATGGTTCTTCCCTAGAGACAAATCTAAAGTCACACAAACCTGGTGCAACCACAGGTTTATGGCGTATATGGGTAACCTCTTGCATACATGCATGCATCACCCTCAATGGTAACTTTGTTTCCCAATAGAACCATCATATGTATATATCATATGATGGTTCAAAGATGAGGCTTTGGCCCTTCTCTATACAGGCCTACCATCACATAAGGGTCACACAATCCCTTGACTCTCTATTCTGAGAAACTTCGATGTCATCAAGGGATGACCCTGCTAACCCTCATCGGTTATGCAGTCTGCCCAGGTAATTAAAGATTTTCCAACCCGACTAACCTAGCACATAAAGCCCCTACTCTGAGTATTAGAAAATAGTATTCGCCTATCTCGGTCCCTCTGAACCATAATCTCTTGGTCCCTCTGGACCATATTATCTTGGTCCCTCTAGACCATACTCCCATTAGAGTTCTTTGTTCCATGACATCAGATATTGATTATATGCTTTCATAAGGCCTTTAATGCATTTCGCATTTAGCTTTTGAAGATCTTACAATATCTCTTCCTCACATTTTTATCCCCCAATAACATTCTCTCTCTCAAGCATTTCTCACTTATTCTATCTCTTTACATTAACCCTGGTGTTCTCTTTTACCATCAATCTTTTCACAAAGGATTTATGGATATAGCTTCTACAGGAGTCATGAAGCCTCTTTTCTCTTTGTTGCTTAAATCGCATCCCGAACGTGGTCATAATCCATCCTTCAAGTCGCATCGCAAATCATGGACTCGTTATCGCTGAAGATCATCACATACCCTTATAGCATGGGGTCGTATCTCTCTTTTGTAGCAAGACATCCAATGCCACATATATATGGAGAACGTTATTATATGATGTTCCGGCTGGTCCATCAAACACAAGCAGGTACTCCCACTGGAATGTTGAGTATACCTGGATCTTCCAAAATAGAATATTTAGTATTTGAATATTCAAGAAACTGAAACAACCGTGGGACTGTAACATCTCCCCCTTAAACGTAATACATATAACATATACTTTCTTAGCATGCTCATGCTTATTTCATGAGTTAGTAGAGAAAGTATGTTCATGCTTATTTCATGAGTTACTACATCAAGTCTCATGCGAAAAATAACTCAATGCTTATTGGTTTTGTAATATGCGAACACTTCCTGAACCACAAAGGTCCAAGCCACACTAGTCTTTTGGATGTGAATCCATACAAACCAAGTTATCTTATCCACACAACATGCTCTCAAGGAAGCTTAACAAGATTGTCATCCTATGACATACCCTATGGTTCATGGTCTTTAGTAATCGAGGATTTTAAATAACTCAAAAATAGGTCACATAATTGGTACCATACAACATGAGTCAAGACATATGAGTATTTAAAACCATTGCATATATAATGACACTTTCTGCCAAGTACGTAAAATACCTTCAATACTCAATGTTTTTTCTTTTATAAAAAACTCTTGACGCGGTATATTTTCACAAGCAATAGCTAGAAAATAGCATGGCAATGTAGAATGATTTTCCATAAAGATTTAGTGGACCTAGCAAGACAATGGGGTTTTCCCAAACCATAT